TCGTTCTTGACTGCTCCTTCCATGAATGTTGATAGTTGATCCAAGAAAAATGAAGTCTTTGACAACTTCAATTTTTCTCCATTAATCTGAATGTTGTTTATTGGTCCATTGGTGAGGATTTTTGTTTTCTTTACATTGAGATGCAATCCATACCGAAGGCTGTGCACTTTGATCTTCATCAGGAAGTGTTTTAAATCTTCACTTTCAGCAAGCAAGGTTGTATCATCTCATATCTTTGTTGTTTTTGTTGTTCTGTGCTGTGGAGTTCGTTCTGACACACAGTGACCCTGTACAGGGTTTCTGAGGCTGTGAATCTCTACTGGAGCAGAAAGCCTCATCTTTCTCCCACAGAACAGCTGGTAGTCTCGAACTGCTGATCTTGTGGTTCGCAGCCTGATTCGTAACCACTACACTACCAGAACTCCTTATCTCACGTTTTAGGGTTTCTTAATTTGCTGTAATTTCTCATAGAATTCATTAACTGTCCAGGGTATGACTCCTACGAATCTGGGGCCTGTCAAGTTACAAATCCATGTACCAGATGTCAGTGGCGGGTTTTCCTCACTCAGGGTAGGCCATACAACTCTCAAAATTATAGAAGCTGATGAATCAAGTCAGTGATAGATTGCTGCCTCAACTCTCGAGAAGCAGAGTTGAGTTGAAGATGAGCCAGATGCCCAATCCAGAGCGAGTATTCTTGTATATTAGGCTTTGCAAAGTGCTCCTATGTGTTGGACACGGAGTCCTAGTGTGGTGCTGTGGGTTAATGCGCCAGACTTCAGAATCATTTGAACTGCAAGGTTGGTGGTTGTAGTTCACCAGCCGCTCTTCAGAAACCCTATACAGGGTTGCTATGATTGGAACGAGTTGACGACACTTAACAGCAACAACAACATTGTTAGACACCGACCAGACCTTGAGGAAACTAAGAGACGTAACTTGAGTCACACACTAAAGTAAGGCAGCAACTCACGATATAGACTGCCTTAATTCTGTCTCATTAACACATGGAAGACTCACTTCAAAATGGGAGCGTAAACACAGGCATAGATGCTAGGATTCACACTCTAGCACAGACCTGGTGTGACGCAGTGCATTAATGCGTTGGACTGCAAATTCAGTTTGAACTACAATGTCAGCAGTTCAAGCTTACCAGCCACTCCTCGGAAACTGTATATACATGGTTTCTATGCCACTTAAGAACACCAGCAATATTGAGGACTATAGCTGGAAAGGTTATGTTAAGTAATGCACTGTATTGCAGCATCTCTAGAGACCCTAGTGACCATTATCAATGGAATCCACTCCTCTGTCTGCCTATTTGTGGAGCACTGTAACAGACACTCTTGTTTTTGTCACTTTGGAAGAAGGCAGTGATCTGAGCAGAGTGGAGATACATAGGGCTTTTCAGGAGCCTTTGTGTTGGGGAAAACAAAGGAAAGAATCCTTTGAAAATACCAGCCCTGCTACAATGAAATTGCATTTGAAAAAAACCAACTGGAAACTTTACTTGGAGTAGCTGAACGTACACACATACTTGAGCTGACTTTTGTCATGTCTTTTGTGTTTGTGGGGAAAAAGCCTTGCCCTTTTCCTCTTTTAGTATTCCTTTCCATACTAGCGTTTTTTGTGTGTGATACCTTTGATTTTTGCTTAGCTTAGTCACCATTTCTCTCACACATCATGGAATTTTTTTCTCAATGTATTTCTTATGCGTTGACCTTTACCAAACACATTGACTAGTCAAAGTCCTCAAAGTTTCTTTCCTCACAGGTGTCTTGTTCCTCATTAAACTTCCTGTTTTCACTTTTTAAAATCCATTCCAAATTATTGGTTCAGTCTCTCAACAGGATAATAATGGACAAAAGTTGTCCAGTGAAATTATACTGGTTCAAATGATGAAGAATAACACTTGGTCATCCATATTGGGAGAAATCTGTGTGTTTCGTAGCAGTGAAGATCCCCACAACAACCTGGAAGGCCATATGAGGTATCTTACTCTTGATATTAAATGATGTCTTAGGAGCCAGTCCCAAGATGGCATCACATTTGTGACCTGTGTGTGTGTGTGTGTGTGTGTCTAAAACTAATACTATGAGTATATTCACTTAAATTCCAATAATCGGTATTTTAAAACATAAATGTGAATCGTATATTTAGTGTTTTAGACATCTGTACTTGTCCTCAGTATTAGAAAGCTTATTTAGGAAGACGGTGACAGTAATGATAGTCTCTTTGTTCCATTGAAACTTGTCAACATGAGACATCTCAGGACCAAAAATTGCACATTTATCATGTATGGTAATTTTGAAATGGTATAAAATGTCATTTTAACAACTTACTTCCTATTTTCAACAGAAAATATATCGTAGAGAGGCTCTGTGCAAGTAAAGAAGATGAACTAAAGAAATACAAAGAAGGTAATCAGTATGGAAAAATGATCTCCTGGAATGCATATCGTGCTTGGCTCAAAGGAGCTGATGTTAGAGTACATCCTTTTAACCATCCCACCAGATCTCACAGTGAACACGAAGCATACCATTATAACAAATGGAACGAAACCTGCAGTTCTCTCTCTTACATAAAACATCACTCACAGACAGTTAATGGGGGGAACGTGTGTAAATGTGAGGATTGTGGGAAACCCAAGGGTAGTTCCTCACCACTCACTAAATATGTCAGAAGAACTCAAAGTATGGAAAGGCCATGTGAGTGTAAAGAATGTGGGAAAGCTCTTAGTCGGTGTTCTTCATTAACTCATAAAAGTACTCACACTGGAGAGAGACCTTATGAATGTAAGGAATGTGGGAAAGCCTTTAGTCATACCACAGCCATTGCTGAACATACAAGATCTCCCAGTGGAGAGAAGCCTCATAAATGTCAGGAATGTGGGAAAGCCTTTAGGTATTCCTCACAGCTGATTGAACATACTAGGTCTCACCGTGGAGTAAAGCCATATGGATGTAAGGAGTGTGGAATAACCTTTCAGTTTCACAGACAGTTCACTCAACATGAAAGAACACATAGTGGAGAGAAGCCTCATAAATGTCAAGAATGTGGGAAAGCCTTCCATCTGTCCTCAGGCCTAAGTAAACATAAAAAAACACATAGTGAAGAGAAGCCTTATAAATGTAACGAATGTGGAAAAGTCTTGCGTCACTCCTCATCCCTCATTGTACATCAACGATCTCACCGTGGAGAGAGGCCTTATGAGTGTAAGCAGTGTGGGAAAGCCTTTAGTCACTCCTCAACCCTCACCGCACACATACGATCTCACCGTGGAGAGAGGCCTTATGAATGTAAGGAATGTGGCAAAGCCTTTACTCAATCTGCAAGCCTCAGTGCACATATAAGATCTCACCGTGGAGACAGGCCTTATAAATGCGAAGAATGTGGGAAAGCCTTTATTCAGTCCTCACACCTCACGGTACATAAAAAAACACACAGTGGAGACAGGCCTTACAAATGTGATGAATGTGGGAAAACCTTTACTGCGTCCTCAAGTCTCAATGTACATAGAAAGTATCACCGTGGAGACAGGCGTTACGAATGTAAGGAGTGTGGGAAAGCCTTTATTCAGTCCTCACACCTGACTGTACACAAAAAAGGACATAGTGGAGAGAAACCATATAAGTGTAGTGAATGTGGGAAAACCTTCACTGCGTCCTCAAGCCTCAATGTACATAGAAGATCTCACAGTGCAGACAGGCCGTATGAATGTACCGAATGTGGAAAAGCCTTCACTCAGTCCTCACACCTCACTGTACATAGAAGATCTCACAGTGCAGACAGGCCGTATGAATGTACCGAATGTGGAAAAGCCTTCACTCAGTCCTCACACCTCACTGTACATAGAAGATCTCACAATGGGGAGAGGCCTTATGAATGTACAGAATGTGGTAAAACCTTTTCCATGGCCACAAACCTCACTGCACATAAAAGAACACACAGCGGAGAGAAGCCATATAAATGTAATGACTGTGGGAAAGTCTTTCCTCACTCCTCGTACCTCAGGACACATATGGCACATCATAATGGAGAGAGGCCTTACGAATGCAAGGAGTGCGGGAAAGCCTTTGTACAGTCCTCACATCTCAACAGGCACAGAAGAACACACATAGAAAAAAGCCTTATAAATGTAAGGGTGCAGCCTTTGGTCAGCTCTAACACCCCACTGCACATAAAAATCTCAATGGAGGAAGGCCTTAATAATGTAAGGAATATAGGGAATCCTTTGGTTTATCCTCAAAGCTCAAATTGCATATGAAATCTCTACAGTAGAGAGAGGCCTTATGAATTTAAAGAGTGTTGCAAATTTTGTATCGGCCAGCAACATTAGACGTAACAGGACTGACCAAGGAGTGAGGCCTCAGTCTTGCAGAAGTGCGACGTGAGATGATACACTAGAACGTAAGAGTACCATTTGGACTGTTGATAAGCTTTCAGTCATCCCTGTGCTTTAAGAAAACGTGTGCGATAGAAACCAAGTCGTTAAATGAAAGTACTATGAAAAAGCTTTACCTTTACCCCAAGTATTTTCTTATGTGAGAATTTGTATAGATTGTTCAGTCTTCACTGTTTACCTCTTTTCGTTACACGACAAGCCACATTTGAAAGAAATCACATCTACATAAAGAACATGGAACATCTATGAGTCTTTTGGAAATTTCAGAGAATGTGTAAGTTGTATACCTTATGCATTAATCCTATGAGTGTAAAAGTTTGGGGAAGATAGTTTTAAAGGTTTATTGTACGCACACTCACAACCTGTTGTGGCTTTGTAGGAGAAGGACTGCCACCGTAAGATTGGCAGTTAGAACCCACCAGCTACTCCTGGAAACCAGCTCTGTACAGTGTCACTATGAGTTGGAAGTGATCTGATGGCACACTAAAACTACAATACTTCATATTCTAATGTACTGTGTCCTCCTATAAGGAGCTCTGGTAGCATAGTGGTTACGAATCGGGCTGCTAGTCTCATGGTCAGCAGTTTGAAACTATCAGCTTTTCCATGGGAGAAAGATGAGGCTTTCTGTTCCCATAAAGATTTACAGCCTCAGAAACCTTGTACAGGGTCACTATGAGTCAGAACCAACTCCACGGCACATAACAACAATATCTTTATGTAAACATTTTGTTTTAGCAGAAAATCATAAGGGAACCCCGAGTGATAGTGTTGTGAAGTTTTAGGGATAATTTTTTTTTACTTTCCTTGTTGTAAAATAGCATTTTCTTAAAGAATCTTACTGAATGTGTAGTTTTGTACTGAACTTTTTTTTTTTTTCCCTATAATTTGCCTTTCACACCTGTTATTATCCCTGCCTTAGTAGTGTAAGAAGTAGGGTTTACATAGACGAGTGACTCAACTTGAGAGTTCACAATGGACCTACTGCTTAACCCATAAACAAGGTAACTTCTGTCCAACCTTGGATCAATATTTTGGGCCACAGTCCATTTCATAATTCTGTGGCTGAAGGGGAGTGTGGACCAGAAGCCGAGCCAACACTTGTTTACTTGGGCTGCACTGTTGGCTCTCGTTCACTGAGTTAAGTACTTACTGCTCCGGAGCCTGTTGGTTTGTACAGAGCCACCATTCTATGAATAACTTTGAATGGGCCTAGGAAATGGTGGACTTAGGTCCAGAAGCAAACCCATAAAGGTCTCCATGACCAATAATTTCCCATTCCAAAATCATCCTGTGGAAAGTCCCTAGGAACTCCTTGTGTTTACTGATAAAAGTGATGGTGGGAATATTGAGAGGGAGGAAAACTGTCATTTTACACCAGGGAGTTTTCAGTAAGTACCTGACAATACGTCGAAATATCATAGTGCCAGTAAGTGAATTTATTAAACATAGTTTTAGTCGGCAGTGGAAAAGGCAGTCATAGCATAATATTGTTTGAAAGGCAAAGTATTAAGTAACACGATGATGAATGTTTTTTTAAAATTTATATGCAGACCAACCAGCCTATACAGAAGTCTAGGGCAGAAAGACCAATTCCTTCTGAAAGCTGAAACAGCCATGTGCTTCTCCCTAATTTTCTTTTTTTTCTAAGAGCATTTCTCTTTACTTGTATAGGTTTTAACATTTTAAATGATAATCTACTTTTGAAAAGTCCTGTAATGTCATGCTGACACACACAGCAGTTCATAGACTCAGCGTCACAAGGAGAGTACAGACTAGCGCTGCCCACCGAATAGTCCTGCCGCTGCCCTTAATTTGAGTGTCCACTAGTAAGTCATTCAGTTTGTGCCTTTTTGATTCTGGTTCCTTTGTTTAGCAAAATGGATTTGAAATTCATGTATATTGATGAATGTATAAGTAGCTTGATTTTCTTATTTTTATTTTTTTATTCAATTTCATACTCAACTTTTGTGTATTTACCAATGGAACACTGTTTTTGCTGTTCACTCTTTTGGGGAATAAAACAGTTGTAAACATTTCTGCACAGATTTTTATGTGACTATAAGGTTTCATTTTGCTTGTACGTATATGCTTTTGGGTGAGAATGGTGCTTCATATACCATTCCGTTTTTGAAAAAGGCTGTGGCTGGGAGATGTAGAGGCTGGTATCGGGGAATGAAGCACACGTTTGTATGCTGCTGCCTTCAGGGAATTAGGCTGGGTGAGTGACTCACCTGGTTGCCACCCATTTCCTGAGGAGAGGCTGTGGGATATTTCATGTAGATTAGGCCACCGGCTCAGGGGCTGGGATTCCGTGCTGCGCCACCACTAGTCACAATGAGAGCCGGAGACAGTGTGTATTGTCCAAGTGGTGCACCATACAGGATCCCAACACCGGAGTCTCCACAAGGAGGGGGTTGGGTACATAAGGAAAGTCCCAAGAGTCTAAAAAGCCACTACACCAAAACAAAAAAGGACCCCTCCTTTTCCAGTGTCCTCTGCACCCTGAGAACTGACCAAGCACAAATAGAAGGCCCGAAGAGTGGACAGAAGGATACTAGAGAAACAGGATAACAGTAATGTGTCTGGTGTCCTGTGTAGCAAAGCTGCTAGCAGTAGACACGTGGAAAATGGTGTTGCATCAGATCATGTCTCCGTTCTTGAGGAAGAGAATCAGCGTGAGCCATATATGGTTCCTATTAAGTGAAGGTGAAGCCTCCCTTCACTTTCGTCTTTTCACCATGTCTGACACCTGTTGTCCCTGTCATGGCACAATCTGTGCTGGGTTTGATCATTCCTTAAAATGTCCAAACAGTACTCACAAGTGAGACTCAGGATTAAGAGGTTTATTAATAAAATTTTGGAGCTTAATCAACTTGGAATAACAGGAAAAAGGTATTTCCAATGAGTAAACCATTAGTCTTTCAAAATTCTACCATTCTGTCTTGTGTGTGTTCCGCCCTTTAGTTTCCAATTACTGTTGCTCCATTTCCAACTTTTACCTTCCAGTCCGCATAATTATAACTGCACATTCCAGTCAGCATAATTATAACTGCATATTCCAGTCAGCATAATTAATAACTTCATATTCCAGTCAGCATAATTATAACCGCACATTCCAATCAGCATAATTATAACTGCGTATTCCAGTCAGCATAATTATAACTGCGTATTCCAATCAGCATTATTATAACTGCGTATTCCAGTCAGCATAATT